TTTTATATTATAATTGAAAGAAAAGTTTTTACTTAAACTGCGTGTTTTAAACCAAAACATCTTATATTAAGAAACGGATGAAGTATTACCTTAGATATAGGTCGTGCTTGAAAACTATCAATTATATATAGTGGAACTTATTGTAATTATGAGAGAGCCATTAGTGGGCTAAGTAAATCTTTTTTTTTAGGAAAAATCATTCTTAACCACACGAAGTATTTGCTAATATGTTGCAAACCATCCCAAGTATAGAAATGTGTTCTAAACTACACAGATTATTATATAATATATGGTGATATACACCAAATATATGTAAACATATTAAAAACTACAAATTGATGTCTTTTGATAAATATTTATCAATTTTGTAGTCAATTTGTAATTATTTTCATTAAAAAAAATCCAAAAAAAAATTAAAACTTACAAAATTTAACAAATTGAAAGAAAATCCATAAAATTTCAAAAATATAAGGAAAAATAATAATTAAATTTGTAAAATCCTGAAGTTCTTAAAATTACAAAATTCTAAAAAATTCCAAAAAATTAAATTTACGAAAATGCATAATTGAAGGTTATTAATTATATTTTCAGTTTTAATTTCGAAAACAAAATTAATTTGTTAAATTACCAAAATTTATAATAATACAAATTTTCAAAAAAAAAAATTAAACAACAATCTATAGTGCATACAGAAGTTAGATTATACTTGCAATTTTGAATTTCAAAATTAAATTAAATTTAAAATTCACTAGTTAATGCTGGGATAGTATCGGCACAAGTAAAAATATTCTCTGAAGAAAAAGTGTAATATATATGTCGTTTATGTATTTTATTCTAAATTATTGAAATTTATTCAATATAATTTAAACTATATTTGTTGACCTACATTTTAAAAACTTGTATTTATTTTGTCTAACAAATTAAATGGTTTCAAAATATATAATTTTGGAACTCTATATACAATACATTTTCAATTACATTTTAGAGATTAATAAATTTTTGTAATTTTTTAAAAATTAGTATTTTAC